ATATTAATACAAACCATTTTCACTTTAGTTTGGAATGAAGCAATTTGGTCATGTTTTGTAATCAAGTGATACGAAGGAGAGGTTTTATCATATTGGGCTCATTTATGTCTCAAACAACAATAATAATAATTTTAAAATCCCTGTATGTCCAAGTCATTGTCTAGGTAAGACAACAGTTATAATTAATTCAGCAACCAGATAGTCAAAGAAATGAACAGCTATTTTTGAGCACTAGGACGTGTTTGGCCGTCTTTTAAGTTGCTCGTTCAGGGGAAGCCAAATGAGAGGGCATGGGGTCTAGGGTGAGACCCTGAAACTGGGAGTAGGAAGCTGGAAACCAGCATTTGCCCTCAAGGTGAGCAGCCAGGGTTGCAGACATCAGGGACAGCAGGAGCCTCTGCTAATGGCTCTCCATGTTCTGTGAGTGACTTTGTCTGAGTCATATTGAGGGAACAGACTTAAAACCCAGTCCAAGAGAAGTGTGTGTGATGCAAGAGTAGCCAGGGTCAGAACACCAACATGGGGAGCTCGAGGCTGGGATTGGGGTTTAAGACAGGCTCCCGATCCCAAGCTCACGGCTACCTTTCTGCAGCTGCAGCTCAGGGAAGGGTAGTGTCCCAGCTGCAGGCTGTGGGGTCCTGGCTCAGGGCATCTCGCATGCGTGCATGTTTACCCAGATCCCGGGGTGGCAGCGGAGGCCGCAGCTGTGACGAAGGAGGTGGGGCCAGAAGCATGTGGGTTCTGAGAAGGGCACCAAGTGGGCCAGTGTGTGATCTGGTGTTCAGTGGACACCATTCCTGCATTACAGTGGTTTTTACCCTTTCTCACTGGCTGAGATTTGGGTTCAAGTGTTCTTTCCCCAAATTGTGTGGCTGTTGTAAAGAATCCCTCATTGAAGTAGAGGGTCACTTTTTAAACGTGAAACTTGAATGATAAGTCTCCAAAGGCCTAGGGCCGTCAACGTGAGGCCAGTGAAGCAGTTGTTTGCAGTGGGGCCCTTGTTTCACTGCTGCCCAGCCAGTGTGTCCAGTTACACCAAAGCCAGGAGGCCGATTGGACACATTTACGGCCATTTTATGAATGCTCGTGTGAAGGCGTACCTTTTTCCCTTGTCACCTATATAAAAATAAAATTATCTTTCTTTTGTCTATAAGCAAGTTGCTAATTGTGTGAGTAGAACGGATCACCATCGGAATGGGACATAGTCCAGCAGAACATAAACGCCGCAAAGGCTAAAATGTCACCACTTCATGAAGCATTTGCAGGGTGACTTAGCGGCCCAGTGAATTTCACCTGTTGGACAAAGCTGGGTACGACGTGGCTGATACGGTGGAAACTTCACTAGCTTTTCTTCATGGCTCCGAGTCTAAACAGTGAGATTTCGGGGCTGTTTGCAGTTTTACCCCATGGAAGAAATTCTAGTCTCTCTCTCTTTCTCACACACACACAAACACATACACACACACAGAGCAGAGGTTTGAACATCTTCGTCTATACATCTAGGATGCAACAGGTTTGGTACATAATTTAGCTCTTTGAAGAAGACATATTTGAGTTAATGGAGATCAAGAAAATGCTGTCTTCTCCCTAACACTCACGTGGCATGTGGGAGGATGAGCTCACACACAGGGGGATGAGCTCACACAGGGGGATGAGCTCACACAGGGCGGCAGCGATTGTTGCGTCCTCTCGGTGAGACTGACCAGCGTCAGCACAAACACAGCGTTTGGTGCAGGATTCAAGACACCAGGCATGACAAAAATCGTCCCCTTATCCACAAGCAGGGAGCTCATCACAAGTCCCCAAGCAGCGTCCAGGCTTTGCAGGGCAGGGAAGCAGGGTAGGGCCGGGCAGGACCGAGGGCCTTATTGATGTGTGGAGTCCCAGGCTGGAATCCTGCTCCATGGGTCTTTGTGTGTGCAGGAAGCACATATAGCCAAGTTGGCAGTGCCTGGTTGTGTGTGTGTGTGCGCGCATTTGTTAGAACTTTGACCCTCATCAGTTCCAACAAGAGAGGGTGACAAGATGACTAAGGCCCATCAGTGTTGGCAAAACAAGTTTTTCTGACTCTCACCAGAAGAATTCCACACCCTTGTTGAACCCTGTTTCCTTGGATGGGGTGCATTTAGTCAATAAATGATTACAGCAGGCTCAGTTCCCCACTGATCTGTAATTTCCAGTCCGCTGATTGGTCTGTGAAGTGTTCAGCTGTGAGTGCATACAGGCGGGGGGTGGGGGGATGAAGAAGTCTTTCTTCATCAAGCTGTGATGTCCCTACAGTGTGTCAGTGTCTCTTTACCTTCAGGTCTCTGCACAGATGGGCTTTCTTGCTGCTGCTCGCACGCCAGGGTTTGGGATTGACTGGCTAATCCGCTGCTTGGTATATGTTCTGTGCAAGGTTTTTCTTTTCTGCAGAGCTGAGAATCACCGTGTAAAGTCTAATTTCCCTTTTGTACACAGGGATGAGTAGGTCTGAGTGCTGGAATGGCCCATCAATCACTTTAGTACTGGCGACCTGCTGTGAGCTCACAGGACGGCCGGTGTGGCCACTGATGCTCACCTGCCCTTGGCCACACCATGGATGGAGAACCTGGCGAGTCCGTGTCGCCTGGAATGTGAGCGCCAGCCTGCAGCTTGCAAACATGGCACTGTCGGCCTGGCCCTCTCTGGCTTCTGAGTGCTGGGGTCCTGGGGTCCTGGCCTTATCGCTTCTCCTTCCCTCTCCTGCTCCCCACGCAGCCCGTGCTGACTGTGTACTGAGAGCAGCTGGGCAGAGCATGGGGCTCTGTTGCAGGGTCAGCCTTTGTGAGGCTCCCGGGTCGGCAACGTACAGAATTCCAGATGTGGAACTGAGATTCCTGAAGGATTGGCCGGTCCGATTCTCCTGCCGCTTTCCGGGGAGGGGCAGCTCATGGGAAAAGGGAGATAATTAACATACTGTGAAGGGCTAAAGGGGTCCCTTTTACATTATGTGCATTCTAACACCGTTTTTAAAAGTTTAGGTAGAAATCAAGTGCTCACACTGCCCTGCCTTCTAAGGCAGCACGAGCTCGTCCCTCATCGGCAACAGGGGAGGCCGACCTGGTGACTGTAGACAAATGTGTATCAATTATGTTCCAGAGTTGCTTCAATAGATGTTGATCATATCTTCTTGGATTCCTAAAACAACCCCACATGGGCAGTGTTAGATCCTCCCTTCTCTGTCCAGGATCCCAGACGCTAAGTCTCAGGCCGAAGCCAATCCCACAAAACCATTCCTGGGAGCAGCCGTTCCGTCCTCTCTGGCTTAGTGTGCACCAGGATCCTGCTGTGCCCTCATGGAGCTCCCACTTGCTATCTGGACAGACTCGATTCTGACACACACTGCCAGCACCACCCCCAGAGACCAGGACACAGAGCCAAGCATTTATTTTTACATGTATACTTTTTGAGACAGGGTCTCACTCTGTCGGCCAGGCTGGAGTGTGATGGTGTGATCACAGCTCACTGCAGCCTTGACTTTCTCTGGCTCAGGCAGTCCTCCTGCCTCCGTCTCCTGAGTAGCTGAGACTACAGGTGCTTGCCAGTATGCCCGGCTAATTTTTGTGTTTTTGTAGAGACAGTCTTGCTTTGTTGTCCAGGGTGGTCTCAAACTCCTGGGCTCATGTGATCCTCCTACCTCGGCCTCCCAAAGTGCTGGGGCTACAGGCATGAGCCACTGCACCTGGCCCAAGCTGTGCATTTATTATAGGCTTAAGGTATATTTGTTGAAGGGAAGAATAACAGAGAAAAAGGCTATGATGGTGAGGAGGGCTGGAGAATTCTTTTTCCTGATGGAACTCAAGGCATTCTGGGTTGCCGGCAAGGGTAATGAAAGATGCCACAAGCACCACAGCTGGCTCTCTGTGCAGCTGACACAGCCCGTTCCCCTGAGCTCCAGCTGTTCTGGAGCTGGTGCCTGAGAGAAACGGGTCCACATTCCAGCTCTTGTGTGGCCCTGGAGTCAGTCCTGTTTTCATGCGCCCGTGACTGCGACTTCCACAAATCTCTCAGGCTCCCTCTAAACTGAAGTAATGTTGGGAAATAACTTATACACATTTGTCTGCAGTAAACAGGTTGGCCTTATACGTTGCAGATATGGGAATCTTAGAAGGCAGGAATGGTATGAGCACCTTGTTTTTATCTAAACTTTAAAAAATTGTGGCATGATACACATACTGTAAAAGTTAACATTTTAACCATCTTTAAGGGTACTGTTCAGTGGTGTTAAGTACATTCACATCATTGTGTAGCCACCACCACCACCCAGGACCTTTTCATCCTCCCAAACCGAAACTCTGTTCCCATTAAACCCTCACTCTCCGTTCCTCTCCCCCAGCCCCTGGTACCCACAGTTCTACTTCCTCTCTCTGTGAATCTGACTACCTAAGCCCTTCATAGGAGTACATGTTTGTCTCTTTGTGACAAGCTTATTTTATTCAGCAAAATGTCCTTAGGGTTCATCCACATTGCAGCAGGCATTGGGATTTCCCTTATGTATTTATGGGCCACAATCTGTTGATCCACTCATCACCAATAGACGCTTGGGCTGCTTCCCCACCAGGGCTGTCGTGAACGATGCTACTAGGGATGTGGTGTGACAATCTCTCTCCAAGACCCTGCATTCAATTCTTCAGGGCATCTACGGAGAAGTGCAATTAATGGATCATATAATAGTTCTAGATTTAATTTTTTGAGGAACTGCCATACTGCATAGAATAATGTTAAGTCCATTATGTTGTGACAAGTATATATTAAATAATAATATACCTTTGAAAATTAAGATACATTTAATGTTAGAAGGTTTTCAGATCTGATTTACTGATGTGGTCAATACATTCGTAACAGCCAGAATAATCTATTGTGATATTGGCATCAGCAAGTTAGAGAAGGCTGTCACAGCAGCAGGACATTGCCCCGTAGACATTGTGCATGTGACATGGAGACCCTAACTTGGATACGTTCCTGTTGCTATTTTAAAGAGATGCTAAGATCTCATCCAGTGAGCATATGAGAATCGGGGGGAGTGAAGAGATGGCCTGGCTGCAGATATGTGAGCCGACGGAGAAGGATAAAGGAAAATACACTTTTGAGATTTTTGATGGCAAAGATAACCATCAACGCTCCCTCGACCTGTCTGGACAAGGTAAGAGAATTCTTCTTTAGCATTTAATAATCTCTATTTAGAAATCCATTTAGATGCTGAAGGGAGGGAATACGATATGAATACAGGAGACAATATGAATTTACGATTTTCATTTAGAGAAAATGAAAAAAATCACTTTATTCATTCTTTCAGTATATCAGTTTTCATGAACCAGATTCACTGGTAGAATATTTGAGTGAATAAATAAAATCTGAACACTGAAATGGTTACTAACATAAGAACTATTTCCTTACAGCTTTTGATGAAGCATTTGCAGAATTCCAGCAACTCAAGTAAGATTTGTGTATTTGGTTACTATGAGATCATCCTGGGGGCAGTTGAGTCCCAGTCAATTTGGCTGCATGTGGGAATCTGTATGGAAGCCTGGGTGACCCAAAGAAAGAGCCATTCCTGGGACAGAAGTGGCAATTTAAGCAATGCAGTATGTGGAGGGGTGGGCATTCTCCTAAACCAGAAATGCGTTTATCAACGGACTGTCCAGGGTCATCGGAACCCCGGATGAATTTCGAAAATCATTATTGTAAGAGTTGAAGAAAGAGGAAAGAAACACGCAAAGCAGCTTAACAGTCAAAGACAAGTTTATTTTGGAGAATAGACCTGAGTGGTGCTTCTGGCAGATTTCAGTCAGAAGCACTTTCTCTTACAGACTAAGGGTATTTAAAGGTTCTGGTTCAGGCTAGGAATGTTTCTGTGTGAAGGAGAGTTTTTTTGTGGGGTTGGAATGCCTCTGGTTGGAGGGGAGGTTATCTAAGGGTTGGAATGTTTTTGATTGGAGGGTAGGTTATCCCAAGGTTGGTATGTTTTTCGTTGGAGGTGTCATTTGTGGTTTATGGTCATGCTGACATTAGCCTTTAAGCTGATGTTTTTGAGCTGGACTTAGGCGGTTTCTAATCAAGGAAAACTTAAAATGGCAATGCTAGTCCAAGATGGTAATGCTGCTGCTGTCAATTATCATCAGTCTGCACATTACACAGAACAACTTTTTAAGGAAAATTCAGGGTTTTCAAATGCACGATCGAGTTTTCGCACATCCAAAGCTGACCACAGTCCTTGGCCTGTGCTAGCTTATTTAATAAACATTTGTTGATTGGGTACAGGGATGAGCAAGATAGATCAGAAACTGACAAGTTCCAAAAATATCTCAAGTCTCTGGTGAATTTGTGGGAAAAAAAAAAATCTCTTCAACCTGTGAACTGGAATGCTAAACTTTTCTGTGGGTTTTAGCATCTGGATAATAGGGCATTTTCCACCTCAAAATGGGCAGTGGGAACCATCAGGAAAAAGCGATGATATCCATGCTGGGATCCTGTGATCTGAACGTGTTCCTCTAAGAGAATGCAGACGTATTTCCTTCTTTCTTTTGCTCTCATCGCTAGTGAGTCTCTCAGCTGTACATTTTGTTGGAAGTACTTTCTCATACTCTCTTTTCGTTCTCTCCTCTCTGTCCCCTTTAACTTTTAGAGCTGCTGCTTTTGCAGAGAAGAGTAAGTACCTGTTAGATTGTAACCAAGATGGTAAATTGTTTTCGGTGGGGCAAAAAGGTCTATATTTTAGAGTACCAACTTTGTGTATTAAATAATAACCAGCAACCCCCCACCCTGATGTAACAATGCTAGCAACACTGCACCCTGTCCTGGAGCTCCACGTCCTGCACTACTGGTCCCTGCACTGCTTTTGGCCTTAGCCCCGTCACCCCTCGGGCCCCCACTTTCACTCCTGTCCTCCGTCTTCCCTTGCAGAATCTGCAGCCCAGACACCCAGGGCCCTTTCACTTTTCTTTCCTCCCCTCTCTTCCTTTGATTTTCCCCCTCCATTCCCCTTTTCCCTCCTCCCCTCCTAGTCCTTTTTCTCTTCTTCTCTTTTTTCTTTTTTTTTGGACAGAGCCCTTGCTTTTTATCACCCAGGGTGAAGTGCCAGTTGGGGGGATCTCCGCTTCACTGGAACCTTCTGCTTCCTGGGTTTCAGCGAGTTCTCTTGCCTCCAGTTCCTGAAGTAGCTTTTGAGATTTGACAAGGAAAACCTGCCCAATTTTCATGGCCCGGGGGCTAGGTTTGTAGTTTTTAGTAGAGACAGGGGTTTCCCACCATTTGGGTTGGGCAGCCTTTGGTCTCTTAAATCCTGACCCTCAGATGATTGCCAACCTTGGCCCT